AGCTTAGCAAGGGGTAATAAATAGCCTCACACTTGCACTTTTGGCCCAAAGGAGAGGTGTGCTGATTAAGAACTAGTGTCTAAGGGGAATGGAGACTCGGGCTGAGGCTCCTTAAAAAGTGGTAGGAAAGAAAGTCTTGGTCTTTCTTCAAAAAATCTTCCTTATTCCTGGGTGAAGATTGAAGAAAAGATCTAAGTCTCGCTTGATAGAAGAGAGGCAGAAGAGATTTTGGTCTGTGGTGTTGAGTCATAATTATTCAACTTGCTTCTTTGTAAGCAACTTAAAATTTCTCATGAGCCCCCAACCCATATTAACTGCATGATAGGTGAAAAAATATAAAAACACACGAAGACTCACACTTAACATCATTTAGCATATGGGATGGATCCCTGAGGGATTGAGCCACCAGAGAAGAGAGAAAATTCTTAAGTTTCAGGGTTCTCCTGAGGAAACCAAATATAAGAACCAATGGGGAGTATCCTTCTCAGCTCTCCAGATCCCATAGAAAAATGAAACCTTGTGAGTATGGCTTAGAGGGACCTTTCTGATTCTCCCTGCCACTGGTAGAGCATGGCATGTGGAATCCATCAGGAGGCCTAATGTCTACATAGTAGGAGGACAGGAAGGAGAGAAAAAAAGGATTGGAGTAAGACAAGGGGCAATGACAAAGGAGAAATATATTAAGAGAAAAGATTGGAGAAAGACATGACTCTGGAGGAGAATAGTCCAGAAGCCACTGGGGAGTGCAGAGTGGCACCCTACATTGAGCTATACCTTATAATGCAAATAATCACTTGTGGCCCATGGGCTGCCACTTCCTATCGCACACCCATGGCAGGCATTGCTAATCAATCCCCAGACTCTTTTCAGCTTAGGTGTGACCTCAGCGTTCTCAACACAGTGCTCCAAGCATCTACTACTCAACAATCACAGTGGACATGAGAGATGGATACCTTTTGCTAGCCACTGACTAGAATATAGAGGAAAGAATTCACCAGCAATTGCCTGCTCGTGTGGTAAAAATGCAAAGAGGAGAAATGTCTACCTGGCTTAATGCTATTTATTCTACTCACCTGCTTTACAGTTTCTTCCCTACTCACCTCAGGTCCCTCTCCTCCTCCCCTGTCTCCCAATCCACACATCCAATTCAGCTCCCTCTTCCCCCTCGTCCAAACCTCCACCGTTGAAGATTCTGACTCACCAAGTCATAAGGTATTTCTGGCCACAAGCTCCACTGTGAATTTTCAACAGTGTAAAAGGGTGTCTGGCCAAAGACCTGCAAAAGAAAGCTAGGAAACAGCCCAAGGGGTAGAGTTCTCTTCATGAATACATCATGGTCCATCTGCAGCCACAGGGCAAAGGGGGTTCCTTTGCTTTCCTGTTTCAAGGGACGTTAATTCTCAAATGTATTCCACTAAATCAACCTGTCTTGTACAAAAACACCCAAACAAACTAAACTGCAAGTTTCATTTATCTTTTGGCTCCACTCTGCCCCAACCTGGGGGTTATCTTGCCTGTGGGCCAAGGCCAAAGCCCATGACATTAGCGTGTATTTACTTTGTGTACTGCATTATTCATTCCTCCGAGGGCTTAGAGAGTTAACTAATGCAAAGGCTTGAAGCCTTTTCATAAAGAGAAACAACTTTGTATTTGCCTAAGTTTTTGAACTGGAGAAAGTAAACAGGACCGAGGATAGGAGGATTAGAAGAACAAATTACTTTCTGGGGGCATAAAGTCTGCAAAATTGATAGATAATTCTAGGCTACTGTCCTCGTTTGTCACGGAAACGGCCTAAGCAATCAGCTTTGAGACTGATGGGAAAGGGCTTCTGTGTTTACGGGTGTCTAAGCTTAGCAGTCTCACCATAGGCACTAAAGTGTCTCAAAGTGTCCCCATAGTATTTGTGATAAGTTACAGGTGCTGAAGTTAGCACATCATGTCAGTCTGATCATCTCCCCAAGACTAGGAGCTCACAAATTTTTCACTCTGTAGTGCCCCCTTTCTCTCCCCTTTGACCTTGGCTGTGAAGGTGACTGGGGAAGGAGAGGGGGTGGTGGCTTCCTGCTCAGCCAGGACCTTGTGCCTCCAGCTGCAAGGCTCAGATCTGCCCTCCCTCCACTCAGGCTCCCTCCTGCCCCTGGAAACCTGAGGGCCCTGTGCCCGTGCTATCTCTAGACCCAGTCCACAAAACCACCTGAAGCTTCTATTTTCTTGCTAGAGATTTGTATTTACTCCAATTTTGAGCCAAGTACTGGCCATTCAGGTCTCCCGTGTTTTCTTCAGTCAGTATTGAAAGAGAAATGAAGAAAGCAATTCCATTTAGAACTGCATCAAAAAGAATAAAATACCTAGGAATAAATTTAACCAAGAAAGTGGAAGACCTGCAGTCTGAAAACTATCACATTGATGAAATAAATTTAAAAAGACACCCATAAACAAAAAAAAATTCCATTTTCATGAATTGAAAGAATATTGTTGAAATGTCCATACCACTCAAATCTACAGGTTCTATAAAGCAATCCCTGTCAAATCCCAATGGTATACTGTAAGATAAATTCTAGCCGAAATAAGCAGGCAAAGAGAGGCAACAAAGAGCCAGGTAATTTATTTAAATACCCCCTGGGTGATGTTCTCAGGCCTGGGTACTACAAGTTGGAGAAGTCACGCCCAGTTAGGGAGGTGGGGCACTTATAAGGGATTAGGAGGGGGAGGAGTGGGCGAGCTATCCTAGGGGGTGTGGAGAGGTATGATTGGCTAAAGGTGACATAATAGACAACCAGAAACTTTTTTTCCTTCCAAGAGGGAGGAGGCTGACATCGGGGTCTTAGTTGGCACATCAGAATGGAATTCAGGGAGAGCTGCCCCCTTTCCATATACGGCATGGACTTTGGGGTCTGGTCTGTTCTCCCCCTATGGCATCTCTCTGTTCTATTTGCATGTCCTTGTTTTTCCTTTCTCCAGCCTAACATATACTTCACAGACACAGAAAAACAATCCTAAAATTTGTATGGATCCACAAAAGATCACAAACAGCCAAAGCGATTTTTTGAAAGAACAAAACTGGAGGCATCACACTTCCTGATTTCAAACTGTACTACAAAGCCAGTGATCAAAATGGCACAGTATAGGCATAAAAACAGACACACAGTTCAATGGAACAGAATAGAGCCCAGAAATGAACCCACGAACATATAATCAATTAATTTACAATGAAGGAACCAACAATATGCAATGGGGAAAAGACAGCCTCTTCAATAACTGGTGTTGAGAAAACTGGACAGCTACACAAAAGAATGAAACTGGGCCACTTTCTTACCCTATACACAAAAATCAACTAAAAAATGAACTAAAGAACCTGAAACCATAGATCTCCTAGAAGAAAACATAGTGGGTAAACTCCTTGACATGGGTCTTGGCAATGATTTTTTGGATTTGACCCCAAAAACAAAGGCAACAAAAGCAAAAATAAACAAGTGGGACAACATTATACTAAAAGGCTTTTGCACAACAAAGGGAACCATCAACAAAATGAATAGGCAAATTATGGAACGTGAAAACAATATCCACTAAGCATGTATTTGATAAGGGATTAATATCCCAACTATGTAAAGAACCCATACAACTCAATAGAACAAGACAATCCCACTGAAAATGGGCAGAGGAAGTAAGTGGACATTTTTCTAAGGAAGACATACAGAAGGCCAACAGTTAATGAAAAGACGCTCCAAGTCACTGATCATCAGGGAAATGCCAATCAAAACCACGATGAGACAGCACCTCACACCTTTCTGGCTACTGTCAGAAAGACAAGAAATAAGTGTTGACGAGGATGTGGAGAAAAGGGAATCCTCATATGCTGGTGGGAATGTCTGTGGAAAACAGTACGGAGGCTCCGCGAAACACTAAAAATTGAAATACCATACAACTCAGCAGTTCCACCTCTGGGGATGAAAGAAAAGAAATCTGGATCTTGAAGAGATACCTGCACCCCTGTGTCCACGGTAGCATTATTCACAACAGCCAAGACACAGTCACACAGTGGAATGGCACTCAGCCAGAGAAAAGGAGATCCAGCATGTTCCACACCATGGACACACCTAGAGGTTACTATGCTACATGATACAGGTCAGAGACGAACATCATATGCTCTCACTATATGTGAAACCTAAAAACTCCATAGATACAGAGAACAGACTGGTAGTTACCAGAGGAGGGGGAATTGGAGGAAAGGGGTCAAAAAGTACAAACATCAGTTATAAAATAAATAACTCCTGGGATATAATGTACAGTGTGGCAACTACAGTTAACAATGCTATGTGGCCATACTGACTTGCTAAAAGAGTAAACCCTAAACATTCCCGTCACAAGGGAAACATATTTTTCTGACTCTTTGAGGGAATGGATGTTTACCCATCATTTGATCATTTGCAGAATATGCATATGTCAAGTCACTGTGTAAACCCAACAGTGTTGTTGGTCAACACGGCTCAGAAAAACTGGGAAAAAATAAAACCTTCACTCTTCTCAAAAAAAACCAGGAAGTTGATGGTGTGGCCTGCACTCCACAAATGTCAGTCCGTAAAGGAGATTCCTTAGTGACCCCCCCTTGCTCTGCACTCAGTGTTTGATGTGACCCTACCTGCCTGGCCTGTGAAATTACCTTCATGGTGTGACTGTGAGGTCATTCTGTGGGAGAAGTGTGTGGAACAGATTCACCAAGGGACACTCATAACACAAAAGGCATGAGGTTGAAATGGAAAATGCACCAGGCCCAGAGTTTCAAGACCTGGTTAGCTCCCAGAACTGCCCCCAGACTTGCCACATGATCTTAGGCAAGTCCTTTAACCTCTGAGATCCACCTGTAAGAAGGGAATGATGTCAACCTCACAGGTGATCATGAAGTTAAGTGGTAAAAATTTGCAACCTGACAGCGGTATTCTGTTACTCTAAATAGACCACAGCTACCGAAATAGCAATGACTTTCTAACATTCTTGGCTGGGATTGCATTTCCCATCTCATTCCCTCTGTTTCTAGAACATTACTGTGGGCTGCATAAATTGTGTTGATCAGTAGAAAAACTGAAATGCCTTATGACTTCTGCAACCTTCCACTAAGACAATGGCAGAGGCAAAAGTGTGAATGAGGACCACCTAAGGCCCTTAGAGGCCCCTTCCTGCTTTACTGTGTCACTGCACCACCATCCACCAGGTCCCCAAACCTGTGTCCTGGCTCCTTCCTTCTTGTTACACCTTCCCAACATTCAGTGATAAGACCCTATATTGCTTTGTAAAAAATCCCTGTTATTTGTCCCATCCTCTCATCCTTTTGCCTTTAGACCCTCACCACCCCCCATCTAGAGTACTGAAACTATCTCCTAACTGGTCTCCCTGCCTCCACCATGGCTCCCTGACAGCCCAGCCCACGGCCAGACTTTGGCCAAACAACTTTCTCAAATGGAAGTCTGATCATGTTACAACCCTTCACTGCCTCTCTCACCTCGAAATGATGACCTAACTCCTAAGCATGGCCTGCCAGCTCTTGAGGGCCTGGCCCAACCTGACTATGTGACCTCATCTCTTTCTATGACTGCCTCTCAAGTTTTCCTTCAGCCTTACTGAACGACTTAAGAGTTTCCCCCAAAGGGCCATGGGATCGTACTCCTTGGTGCCTTTACATACTCTGCTCTAAGGCCTCTGCTTTTCTTGATACTCAAGCTCCCAGTCTTTTCCTCCTATTTCTTTGTCTGCCCTTCCCTCCCCATTTTCTTCCCCAGACAACTGTCAGATGAATAATCTTATTTCAAGACTTGGCCTGCATCACCTCTTCACTTCATCTTTCCTGACCCTTCCAGGTAGGGGTGGCCTCTCCCTTCAATGCACTTGTAGTTTTGCTGCCTCCTAGAGACTTCTATCCTGTCACATTCAATCCTTTTTGCACGTAAGCATCAGTCTCTCACATTAGCCTGGGAATTCCTTGAGGACAGGGATGGCACCATCAGTGTCTGCATCCTCAGTACTCAGCCCCGTGGTAGCCCTAAGAAACCAGCCAATAGACGTTTGTGGGGGTAAAACAGTGTATTTTCCCAGTTGTATAGATTTCACCTTTCCACAGGTGGTGTTCCATGGAGAAGGGCACACTGAGATGAGCCACAATTTATAAGGCAGCAGCCTTAAGATGTAACCAAAGATTTAAACCACAAAACATGTGGGAGTAGTCTAGATTTGGGTTGAAGAATACTTTGATGCTTGAGGTTTGTTTTAATTATATAGATTTGAAACATACATATGTTTGATTCCAGCCAACAACTGAACAATTGCTATGTGCTAAACACCTGGTGAACGGAGTAGAGCAGAATGAACAACCCACAGCCCTTGTCCTGCAGGAATTCACAGTCTCAAAATCCAGTGGGGGAGACACACATGTAACACGAGAGAGTTGCAGAGTGCCAAGGGGCAGGGAGAAACAGGTTCTGATTGGGAGGACCTACGAATTCCTTAGGAACAGGATTTAAGCAGAGATTTAAAAAGTGCTTAAGACATTGATTGGTAGGTGGAACTAGTGAACCAACAATACAGCCAAGGAGAGATGCCCAGGTGGGAGAGCCAGATGGGCTCCCCGAGGGTAGAGCTACTGTCTCCGCAGCCCTGGGTACCCGCAGAGGGTGTGACGGGTGTGATGGGAAATAACTGTGGATGGGCAAAGGCAATTAAGGAACCTGGGGAACTGAGATTTGATTATATCAATATTGGGAAGCTCCTGGATATTTTAGAGAAGATTCTGGTTCATATTTATTTGCTCAAATTGAAATCGTTTTGATTTGGTAAGAAGTTTATGAGAAAAAAAAAAGGCACCCTGCGCAGTGAGATTCATTATTCAGCTGCTGATGAAACATTAGGATTTCATTCTGGGAATGCTTACCGGGAGAGAAAGAAATGTGTTGAAAAAATCGGCAAAGATCTCATCTTCTAGCAGAATTGTAAGATTTGTAGAACCGATTATCTCTATATGGGGAGAAAAAAAACCCCTTCATGAACCAGGATTATATTTAGGATAAGAAAATATAATATAAAAAAGCAACAGAATGGGTAATTTCACAGAGCCAAATCTCAGCGTGGTGATGGCCTTTGCGATCCCCTAACTCAGTTTCTCCCTGTCTCCAGGACTCTCCTTTGCAATATGACTCTGCTTTAACACCCCCAGCTGTGGAGAGCTCGCTGCCTCACAGGGCTGCCCATTTCATTTATGAAGAGAGAAAATGGTTAGAAAGATTTTTCTGCTGTGAACTGCCTTCTTTTATCTTCTTCCCATTTGTAGAACTTCTGCCCTCTGAAGCTTGACAGAATCCATCTAAGTCCTCTTAAACGGAACCATGCTTCCATTATAAAGACATCACGACCTGCTTACCTGCAAGCCCTCTGGCTAGTCACTAAGCAATTCTTCAACCATTCCTCACATGGCCTCCTTTCCGTCTGGTGCCACCCTCATGGCTGGAGTGACACCCAGGAGTGTCAAGTACTCTGCATGCTTCCCGGGGCAGCGTGTAAGACAAGTTGGTCATATTGTATGTTCTATTAGTGTGGCCTGAGATGGACCTGGCTTCAGTGTTCTCAAGTGACATTCTGAACTCCATCATCCTTTATTTACACAGTAACTTTTCAGACACCATGGCAGGAATTTACATTTATTCTGGTCGAATTTCAGCGTGTTGGCTTGGGCCCAACATTAACTCCCAACAAGAGTTAAAAAGTCTCAACAAGAGACTTTTTAAATACAGATTTGGCTATGCAGAACATTCATTGTTCTACTCAGGCTTAGTCCCGGTGCTACCCAGTTCATTCAAGGAGATAAATGTAGAACGTCACAAAGCCAAGCACAGAGACCACAGGCAGACAAGGGGACCCCTCTACATTTACTCTAAGTCGCAGTCTTTGCTCTTTAACACACGATATTCAACTAGTGAATAATAAGCTGATTGTTTAATCAATGGGCCAGCATTTTTCCATCCTACCTGAAGTTTATAAAGACTTATCAGTGAGCAACATAAACACTGCACAGTAGTCCTCTCTCTCAGTCTAAGTTAAATGTCTGGCAAATGTAGTAAGTGCTACTCACAATCACTAGAGTGCAATTATGATAACACAAGTAAACCAAGTAATCCCCTCCCTCACTTTTCCTGATGATGCTTGGTGGGTATGGGGTATTGTCTTCATGTAATAAAAATGGAAATAGAGTCCCAGGTGAACAGACACGATTGTAACAGAGCTGATGTCAGTTCTTGCCTTCTGTTCACAGATTCTTTTCACAGTATTTTTTTATCTTTTTTTTTCTTGCCTACTGTTGTAAACTTTCATATGTCTTTTTCTGTCTCCTTTCTTAGCTCCCTGCTCTTCTTTTTATAAGCATTCCCTGATTAAGTTAATCTATTCCACATAGATGATTGTCAACAAGAGACTTTTTAAATACAGATTTGGCTATGCAGAACATTCATTGTTCTACTCAGGCTTAGTCCCGGTGCTACCCAGTTCATTCAAGGAGATAAATGTAGAACGTCACAAAGCCAAGCACAGAGACCACAGGCAGACAAGGGGACCCCTCTACATTTACTCTAAGTCGCAGTCTTTGCTCTTTAACACACGATATTCAACTAGTGAATAATAAGCTGATTGTTTAATCAATGGGCCAGCATTTTTCCATCCTACCTGAAGTTTATAAAGACTTATCAGTGAGCAACATAAACACTGCACAGTAGTCCTCTCTCTCAGTCTAAGTTAAATGTCTGGCAAATGTAGTAAGTGCTACTCACAATCACTAGAGTGCAATTATGATAACACAAGTAAACCAAGTAATCCCCTCCCTCACTTTTCCTGATGATGCTTGGTGGGTATGGGGTATTGTCTTCATGTAATAAAAATGGAAATAGAGTCCCAGGTGAACAGACACGATTGTAACAGAGCTGATGTCAGTTCTTGCCTTCTGTTCACAGATTCTTTTCACAGTATTTTTTTATCTTTTTTTTTCTTGCCTACTGTTGTAAACTTTCATATGTCTTTTTCTGTCTCCTTTCTTAGCTCCCTGCTCTTCTTTTTATAAGCATTCCCTGATTAAGTTAATCTATTCCACATAGATGATTGCAAAATCTGTTTTCAGTCCAGACTCCTTGTCCTTGGCTCTAGTTCTAAGCATCCAATGGGCCATGGGACATCTCTACCCGGACATCTGCCAGCACTTCCATCTCAACATTTGCAAAGCTGATCTGACCATTTTGCTTCCCCACCTGCTCCTTTTCCTGTATTTCCAATCTTAGTTATTGGAACCACCGCTCATCCAATTGTCTAAACCAGAAACCTAGAAATCATCGATTCCTCTCTTGCTCTCTGTTTCTTTCTCTCAAATTCTACTCCCATGTGTAATGGTGGACCATGCTATGCGGTTTTCCTTCTACATTTCCCTGAAATCTGTCCTCTCCTCTCCCTCCACAAACTCACTCTCTTATTTCAGGCCCCTATCCTCTCTCACCTAGACTACTGCCTTAAGTCTCTTAAAATGGTCTCCCTAGCTCCATTCTGTTTCCCTTCCAAGCACTCCTCAATGTCTTACAAGTTAAAATAAAGTGCAAGCTCCTTAGTATCTGAGATGACAATGGATCTGGATTTTGAGTTCCCTCCCAGCCTTGTCTCCCACCACTCCGCATCATGCTGTCTCCTGTTTACAGTCAGAACATTTTCCTATGTCCAACCTCCATGTCTTTGTTCCTGCATTCCCATAGCCCAAAATGTCCTCTCAACCACTATCTGCTTCACAAAATACTAGTCACCCATCAGGAATTGGCTCACATATAATGTTGATGAACCAAACATGGTAGAATCTTCCACAATGGTAAAATTGATATCTAGCCCCCCTGGTTAACAAGTCGTTGTTTTCATCCATTGATGAATCTGTCTTCCTTAAGAGACTGAGCTCTATGAGGAGGGACTTTGCCTTTCCTTCCTTCTTCCCACAGGCACTAAAAGTGTTTGCCCAATGTCTAAGTTCTATAAAGGTTGAATGAATTGTTCTTTCAAGAGAAGAGCTTCTATCTTCTGGGCCTTTTTCCATTTATTTGGCCAGCATTCAGAGAGCCTGGCATGGATTTGTTTAATAAGATTATTGAGACAATCTGAATGCAGGACAGTGGGGTTTGGCAGAAATTCCCCAATCAATTGTATGTTCCATAGCTACACGCACTGCTGGTGACCAGTGGCTTGACTATGTTAGGGCTTGCCATTAACAGGATGGCCTGCATGGGGTGGAGGAACAGGCTCTCCACATCCTCCCTTTCCCCATCCTCCAGGTCTTCATTCCTGTTTTGCCATTCTCACCTGCTCTGCCTTCAGACTTCCCAATACTTCGAGAAGGCTTTCAATCACTTATTCCACACCATGGTAATACCGACTTGGGAACAAATCATTGGATAACCCCAAACCTCATGCTAGCCTTCTCCCAAGAGGAGGTATGGCACATGATGGCCCAATCTACCCTTTACTATCTCGCTCTTGGTTGCCTTAGTTGTCCTATGAATGGGGCCCTGTCCTAGACTCAAAGATCTGATGGCACGAGGTGGAGGGGGTAAGTGGGGAGAAGAAGTGAAGGAAAACAAAAGGCATAAATAACAAAGCCACACACGGTGTCCCTGAAGACTCAGAGCTGTTAACAATTGGGAAGGAGGGTGGTCTACTTTATCTAAGGGCTCAAAGCCTAGGAGACATCCTTCTCTAAGACTCACCAGCATTGCTCATGTTGTCATGCTCTTCCTGCCACTGGGATTAGGGGCAGAATTTGCTCCCCATCAGCAGAACCCCACCCTTTGTGACCACACAGTGACACCTCCCATAAGGGCTCCAGATTCTATCAGGATTTGGTCTTCTAATCACTGGTGTAGACCTCAGTCTGAACATGTCTTTGTTACTCCATCTCCTTGATTCCCTTGACTGTACCGGACACCTCTGATACTTAGGCTTTTAGTCCATACACTATTCTGTATGCTTTGGCAGGTTCTCTGTAAGTGTTTTCCATGTATAGATCCTGAGTTTAAGTTCTTTCCCTTTAACTTGACCTTATGCTTGTGGGGAGCAAGGATCTGCTCATTTATTTCTAGTGTGTCTTTTGTATCTAATATCCTTCTAGAAATTGAACAGGTACTTGGTGAATGTTTAATGACTTGTCTTTTGGATAAGCTTGGAAAATTAAACCTAATATCCAAGTTTTGTTTTCCAGCCCCTCTCCTGCTTCCCAGATGGTTTCCACTGGGTGGCTGGGAGTTACTTCATTACCCACTGGCTTTGAAAAGAGATAGAATAAACATTAGCTGCCATCCATGACAAAGACGCTGGAGGAGGTGTTTATACTTTGTTCTCATTTACTTCGCGGCCCTGCTAAAAGAAGTTACCATCACCTCTTTTTCATTGAAAGTGCTGCATTGCCTATTTGATTCAAGAGCCTGTCATTTCAAATATGTCAGTAAGGCAAAGCTTCTTTTCACATGAAAATGAATTTTAATGGACTTAAAATAAGCTCCTTGGACTTCCTCACTATGATCGATTTTTCTGTATAACTCCTCCCACCACTTCTTGTGTGTACCTTTATTTGTTTAATTAGGCTTTCTTTCCCACAGATGTTATAAAAGAAGTAAACAATATATATGCAGAAAGGAACTATGTGGAAGAAAGCTTCCTACATTCTAAGAATTTTAACAGAAGATAAAAACAAAGTTATTTAATATTTTCTTCAAATCATAGCATGCACATGTGGAGATTTTCTGTGACCAATTTTAATCCCAAATTTTCTAACCCTGTCAGTCTCCCATTCACCTAGACCAGTCACTCCAGAAAAGACAGAAGCAAGCAAGAGGCAATATGGGAAAGAAGTTATATTTGTTTTTCATTGTAACTTTTCCCAAGATGGTATAATGTTTTTCAACTGTAAACTGGGCCAGGTCTCCTTATGAGCTATCATGACGAACTCAAAGGAAAGAGCAGAAAACTTTTTATCCACATACAAACAGTCCTCGAAGTGAGGAATAATCATAAATGACAAGAAAGGAGACTGAAGAATTTTCTAGAATATTTCCAACTTACCAAAGTCTAAAATGTTTGTTGCAAGTTGGAAATTTAGAACTCAGCATGAATTTGGTCACAGAGAATAACTTATAGTAAGACAAATGGTAGAATTGTTTAATATGGAAATTAACATTTGTTATTCATTTTTTATTGCCTTAAACAGGCTTGAAGACTAAGCTCTTGTCCTCTTCAAGGATAGGTAAATCATTTTTGGGTAGTCCTGGCTTTGGGTCTGATTTACCACACTTAGATCCTTTCTTCCAATGTCCTAGGATACCTGTGAGTTAGCCCAAAGGGGGCCCTAAACACTGAGTGGGTCAGAAACAAGTGCATTTAGTAAAGTTTTATGTTGTGTTGTTTTGGCCACTTGGCTTCTGGCCACCCTTCCTGTTTGGTGTGAAAAACCATCCTGTCTCTTGAACACTCTCCCACTGTGGATACCAGAGGGGGCCAGAAAGTCCCTCCTTCTGCTCTGGCAGCAAGGACATGGATGCCTATCCTAGACTCAGCAATCAGACCCTCCACCAAGGACTTTTCTTTTGAAAATGAGGCTTGATTTCAATGGGATGTGATGCTAACTACCAAAGACAAAGTATACGTGGATATCATAACAGCAGCTATGGCACTGTAGATATCAGAATGATCCAACCCACAGATTCTTTGTTGGGCCTGTTATCATAGGGTCATCAAGTGTAATAGTTTGCAAACCTACTGGGAGCTGTATTTAGCAATGCAAGAGTGACCCCAGGTTCAGAGAGGGACTGAGAGGTTATTAAACAGAAAGTTGAATGGCAATGAACTGAAGCAGCTGCCTCCTTCCCAATCTGTTCCGTCAAACAGGCATCTGAAATCATTTTTAGTAATTAAATGAACTCGCCTGGAAGGAAATGGCATGGAGGAGGTAGTCCAGGTCCAACTCAGCTTGATGTGTCTAGCATCAGTAGGTGCTCAACGGTGTTTGCTCAATTCAGCTGAGAAATGGATGTGAAGATAATATGGAAAGCTTTAAGTTCTGCACAAACATAAAGAGCTAGAAATTGTCTAATTGAGGGATTGGGGCATTGGAAAAGGGTGAGGGACAGACAGAGAAAGTGACATACAGTCATCCCAACATTAACTTAAAAAAGCTTTAGGTTATTTTTATATGTCAGTATGTCTGTAATACTGACAGACTACAGACTTCTCTTGGGCAGAACTGCAGCCTCCTGATTCAGAACTTCCTCTTTGCTAAGGCCTCTGGTTAGTTACATAAGGAGAGGACACAGCACATGGAATTCATGCCTTATCCCTACTGTTGTTGTTTTCGCCAGTTTAATAGGTTTTAACCAAAGACTTGAGAATGGTGGTCAGTGCAATACTTACAAGTTTTAAAGTCAAGGGAGGTGTAGTTTCGTCCTATTAGATATTGGTGCAACAGAAAGAGAATAAAAACTTGAAAGTCTGCCACTAAAATAACCTGTTTAATTAATATTTCATGTCAGGGAAAAATTCTGAGTTATAAGAAGTACAATCTTTTGTGATTGGTGATTGGTCAAGTCCTGGCCAAAGTTAAAAAGTAAAAACCTCATGGAAAGAAATGTACCCAACAGCTGCAGGGTTAGTCATAGAACATCGCCTTTAGTCCTATATTCTTTGACCTAAAATATGTAATGAGGATTCTGAGTTTTGGACAGTGAAGCCTCAAGAAGTTGGAGGTAGTAATTTTATTTCTTTTGGCTGGGTGGGTAATTTTAAACCCAAGCATAATAAAAAATGTTGCCCTTTGTTTTATTAATGTAAATGTACTTCTGAAAAATGTGTGCTATTTTGTATATGCTGTTTTTATAAAACAAAATGTTTAAAATTTGTTTTGCTTTTATTTTAAAATATGACAAGTTTACAAGAGCCTTTTAAGCTCTTAGGAGAATTTGCTTTGTTAGGCTTGTGAATCTGCCTTGTTAGATATTTAAAGTATTTAAAAGAATGATACTTACAACTCATAATATGCAATGTCTAGGAATTTTAATTAACAAAATATGGAAATGGTATCTGTTAAGAAAATTTGATCTATCTAAATGTATGATTTTATTGAAAAATAATGAACAAGCAGTAGCCATTTCAAATAAAATTATATTTATAATTCTGTATGTAAGGTTTAAAAGCTTAATAATTAGTATATTAAGTGTGTACCATAGCATAGTGAATACTGTCTACAATATAAACAACTATGAGCATTTTTTGTTGCTGGCACAATGATCCCATTCAGTTAGTAAGAGCACATTTATGATTTTCTGTCTTCATATTGAATATCAGATTATCACAATTTCCATATAACACTTTTGTGTGGCTCTTCCTTAGCCATCCTTCCTAGCAGGCAAGGAACTCAATAGTTTTCTCTGGTATTGTTGGACCATGAAATCCCATCAGTGGAACTGCACTTTCAGGCATGTGGTTGCTAAGCTTCAGTGTCTGAGTATATGAATGTTTAAGACCTTAGAATGGCTCTCTTGAATTCCTCTAACAAATTCCTACTTATGCTTCAAAACCCAGATCAAAATTAAAACAATATTTCATCTATGCTACACCTGTATTAGATATTTTATTTACTCATTCTCCAGCTATTGAAAGCCTATTATGTGATGTGCTGAACAAGAGCATTTTGATGATTTTTATGGAGTTGCTAAAAAGCAGCCATTTTAGCTTAAGGAACATTTTGACACTATTGTGTTTTAGGGATACACACACACATCTGTATATCTATGCATGTGTAAATATCTCTATATTTATACATAGATATCTATACTTCTATATATCTATGTATATAATCTTATATATTGAATTCTATGATTATTCATAGCTACACATCAAAGTTTAACAGGAAACAAACAGACCTTCATTACGTTTACTGGATGCTTGAACAACACTTATTTATTTTTGTTCCCCTCTTCTTCCCTCTTTCATTTGTTTTAAATTGATAATTCAGTACCAAATGGAGAGCAAGTACACTTTCTGGGCGCATGTAAAATGGTGCCCTCTGGTGGATAGTGGTGAAGATTACACCTTTCTTTCCCAAACTGGGTTTTTTGGTTTTGTTTTTCCCCAAATTTACCTTCGGTTTTCCATTCTGGTGATTAGAATTGCTGTCAGACTGCTCACATCTACTGTGATGTGAGGAACGCAGAAAGGTCCTTGTCATCCGAACTTCAGGCATCTTCATTCTACCATTATGTCAGGCTTCAGGAATAATCTTTTGTGGCTTTTTAGGCCTCTGCTAATATTTAATTTTTTACCTCAAAGATACATGCTGTGAGGCATAATCATATTTGAGAGCATTAATTTGCTATACAAGATGAGTTGAAAATATCTAACAGGACCTCAAAAGTACCCAGAAATGAGACAGATCTTTCAGCAAGTGGTTTTGGTATCTCTTCAACTTTTACCTTTATAGAGAGATAGTATCTCGAAGTATTAATATTTGAGCTTTAATTCTCTGCCCTTGTATGTAACTTTTCCCCTAATTAGTGAGAGATATTGCCTTGAGATGAGGTCAGACTGTAATAGTAAAAAAGTCAAGTTTTAGGTAAAAATACATAAAACATGCTGTTAATATCAAAAAGAGGAGGTCTGAGAGAAGTAGAAAACAGTTTCCTCATATCACTAGGAAAGAATGTAGAGGAAAAGCGGATTCCCTACCGCCCCCGACTCCAGACTCTAGAGGAGCTCCAAGCAGGCTACAGGAAGGAGGAACTGCGAAGCTGGGCGAGGACTGAAAAGAGCCCGCGGCTGTGGGGGAGAAACAAGGGGATGGTCCCCGAGGCGACACCCAGGGACAGGGCAGAACCTCCAGGGGAAACTGCAGAGCTCACTGGTCACCAGGTCCAAGGAGAAGCACAGAAGATGTACTAATGCCTGAGGAATATTTTATTTCCACCCAGGGAACCACGGCTCATCTCCGGTGGAGAGCAGCGCTGTTTGCTGATCACCGCACTGTGCAAGTGTCTGCCTTCCGTGCAGAGAGGCCTGCTGGCCACACACTGGCTGCTAGCCCGCGCCTGCCATCCACATCCTAAGGCATTGCTGAGCTTCATCTAAGGACACTGGGAGGCTCCCCCTCCCCCTGCAGTCACTCAGAATGCTCACAAGCCCCCAAAACCAGAGGGAGGAGGCCCTTAACAACCAGATAGTAATTCATCCCTGCTACACCTTGACTTTTGAACAAGAAAATTAACAAGGAAGAGTAAGGCCAGAACCGAAGGAAGAGGGATACATGTCGTTATCCTAAGAACCGGAAGCAAGAGGACGAGAAGGATGACATCCTCTGGATCCCTGCCCAGCCTCACTCTGCCCTGAGCCTAGATATTTGAGTTGTGACCAGGAGAAGGGAAGCTTGACAGATTCTCCATATCCTGCGGACAGCAGGAGAGAAGCAGGGTGGGTGGCATAATGACATTCTTTTGCAAATCCCCACTAATTTAACTCTACTACTCAGAATTTCACCCCCCTTGATACTCATCTACAGCATTGTGACATAGCTAAATATCTACTGCCTTAAGTCAGCTTCCTAACTCTTTTGAGTTTTAGATTATCATCTGTAAACCTACCTGATAAGAGGGTTGTAAAGATTAAAAAGAAAAGTACGTGAAATAAACAAGCCACTGAATTTTGTGGTACATGAGAACCAGAAAGGAGTGGGTCCAGGTGAGTTGGCTACTTGGAAATTGATTGAGCTTTGTACTGAGCAGTGAGAGTCTGACAGACTCTACACCTTGGGAGACAGGGGTGGAGAAATTTTAGAAGCAGACGAGCCTTTTTAAGTCCTCACTACATGCAGGGTGTGGCTCTATCCTACTACTCCCTGCTGAAGAACTAGCCTTTAAGGATCGTGGTGATGGTATCATGGTGCCATGTATGTCCACACATCAAAATGTATGTACGATTTTTGTATATTAAGCATATCTCAAAACTTATGTTTGGTAAATCATAAAGTAACCAAAAGGAAGAATGCAGTAACAGTTCTGTGAGTTCTATACAGTCAAAATAACAGTTCTTTAGTAGGAGTATTAAAGAGATCCAGAATGAGAAAAGATGAGGATGGGTAAGCTGTTACGATGTACTAAATGTGACTAGTGGTCGGTATCTCTGTGGTGGGTCAGGGACATTGTAAAGACCCAAAGGCAGTATATAGCGTATTTATTTTCATGCTTTCCTGGGAGAGGAGTGGGGAAGGCAGAGAAGAGCAGGGCGAGCAGATTGCCTTGGCTGGGGTTGTGCAGAGCGAGCAGAGGTGGGGAGGAAGGGAGCTGAGAGCAAAGGCCCTGGCCCCCGTCACAGGCCTCGTATTTCATTCACCTTTCCTCTGCACACTACTCAGCAAATGACAGAAGTCAGAAGTGGGGAGAGGCGTGTGCTCATCCCTGCTGAGCCCGCTGCCTTGGCTGTTCCTCTCTCACAGCTCCACTTCCCACAACTTCTCATCCAGCTGTTCCACGATGTGCAGGTGACAGGTACCATTCGAGCTCACCCAGGTTCAGACATTAACAAATGTAACAATAGAACAAAAAGGAGGAACCATGGATCCAGATCATCAAAATGGCAATGGAAGCCACATGCCAGCAGAAGAAGGTGGTGACAAACATGGTGTTGTGTTTGTCATCATCCATCCATTTATGGCCAGAGATTGGTTTGTACAGCAAGGAGCCTGTCTGTATCAGCCATGAGCCTGCTATCATATAAAACAAGGCCTTCATCACCCAGAGCTGAGGCATGTTGGGAGCCCACAGCTCTGCAATCACCACCAGCATCAGCAGTAACATGGTCTGCATGTGCAGGAGGTGAGCCTGCAGCTCCACTCCCTCTGAGTCCTGCATGTGACACACCATCAGGGGCAGAAAGAGAAATATGCCCAGGGTCTGGGCACCTTGCTCCGGAGCTGCACACCTCTGGGGCAGCAGGTTCTTGCTTACCGCATCTGCACACCTGCTCAGGAAGAAGGTCATATAGAGAGTGAGATGCTGCCACTGTTTGTGGTATAACAAGTTTCTCTGATGATACCTCTTGCTGATAAGTACAAACTGTCCATGAATGTTATGCAGCTCTTGGGCTACTAAAATGCAGGCGCTCAATATCTTCACTGACCCAACACAATATATCTGCCTTAGCCTCGCCCATCTTCCTTTGGTCCAGGGATGGCGTGGTGGATATTGGACAGCGTAGTTGCATATCAAGGCCCTGGAGATGAGTCGTGCCTGATAAAGTCCATAGAAGAAGAGAGACAGCCCTGGGTACAGATGACCTTCAAAGCCTCCCATGGAACTGGAGGGAGGTCTGACCTAAGGCAGAAGAAGCAAGAGGCTCAGGAATGACCACTTTCAGGCTCCAGAGTGCGGAGGGAGCTTCCTGAAGTCTATTTATAACCTCTGTGCGGCTCACTGCTTCCACATACGGAAGAGAAATGGTTTTGGAGGGAACCCAAACTCAGGGTGGGTGGGACTCACGGTTCCGTTCTGGTCTCCTGCTCTGGTTCATTGATAGCTAAGCAACTGTTGCCAAACAAAGAACTGAGCGTATTCTCCTGTATAATGCCTGGGTGTCTCCCCTTCTCAGACTAGGCTACAGGTCCCCTTGCCTTGCCTCCCACTTGTCCTTGATGCCATCGCTACCTTCTTACCTCCCTCCCAAACTCACAGAACGTAAAGAACTCAGACGAAGTCGGGAGAATGCACAAACATAGGGCATATTAGGATTCCTCACATAGAACCTCATACAAGTACTAGGCACAAATGTAGTCCCCTAGGCACAAACAGTCTTAAGAGCTGCAAGTAAACATACGCAGGACCTCATTACTCTGACGTTGGTTGAGGACTGCCAGAAAAATATTCAATCCCAGAAATCTCTCTTCTGCATATCTCTAGATAGAACTGAGATTCCTTTGGGCTACGGCAGTGTTTTTCCAAGTTAAAGTGTAGATGATTAGGTTCTACTCAGAGATACTGATTTGGAATCTCTTGGCAGTGGTATCTTGCAATAAATATTTCAATAAATATTTCCAGGTAATTCTTATGCACACTAAATTTTGAGAATCATTGAGTAGTAGATTGTAGGTACTGGTAGAAAAGAAGATCCTATTAAGCTAGTAATCTTAGTGTGAAATATTTTTTCTCAGGAAATAAGCACCTATTAGGATGTAATGGCTATACTACCCTTCAGGACAGTCAATTGGGTACAAGGAATGTCTCAAGTTTCTTTCATGTTCATCTTATTTTTTTTCCATTTTGGTTTATTTCCATTTGGTTATTTTGTTGGTATGTCTTTTGTTGCAACCATGAATGAATAGTCCACTTTATTTTGTAATTTTTACTGATATAAGAAACTATAATTTTATATTGATCTTCATGTTAATTACTTGCTGCATTTATGTACTGTTCTAATTTTTAAATGGTTTAATATACAGATATCTGAAAATAATGAAAATATCATTTCCTTTTAGATATACTTTTGTCTTTTCTACTTGCACTGGCATCGTAGAAATGTATTGTTTTCCTCTTCTAGGAAGTGTCCCCTCAAATCATGTGGGTTAAGTGGAAGCTGTTATCTCCTAATAAACTAGGCCAATTTAAGACCAGCACAAGATTTTTTTTTCAATGAAAAAAGAAAACCTCCTGCTCTCAGCCTTTTCATAGACTATATAAATTCTGTTTACTGCAGAACCAAGTAATTTATTGGAATTATATTTCCTTCTCCACGGATCCAATATTGTTTTGGTTTTGTGCTTCTGAATAACTAATTCACACAAACTTAATGGTTTAAAACAAAATGAATCTATTACATCAGTTTCTGTGGGTCAGGATATAGGCAGAGCTTTGCTGGGTCCCCCGTTCAGAGTCTCACCAAGTGCAGTCATGGTAGGAGCCAAGCTGCGTTTCATTCTGGAGCTCAGGGTCCTCTTCCAGGCTCACATGGTTGTGGCAGAATTCAGTTCCTGTGGTTGCAGGACTAAAGTCCCAATTTGCTTGTTAGCTATCATTTCACATTCACCATATTGACAAAAATTAGTCAGTAGTCTGACAATGAGAAACAAATAAAATAATTGATACATTGCTACTGTGAATGTAAATTGATAGCACCACTTTGGAAAAGAATTTGGCATTGTATAGCATTATATAGTAAAGTTGAAGATAAACATCCTGACATGTATACAGTATTCTCAGGAATGTACATGGGAGCACTGTTTATAATTGGGAGAGAGAAAGAAGAGCAATCAAAGTTACCATTAATATTGCCTTCAATATTAAAATGTATAGATAAATTTGTAAAATACTCACAAAATGAAATACTGTAGAGAAGTCTGTAGAGAAAATGAAAATTATAGCTATATTCAACAATACTGTGATGATTAATTTCATGTGTCAACTTGCCTAAGCCATAGGATACCCAGATTAAATTATTTCTAGGTGTGTCTATGAGATTAGCAGTTGAATCGGTGGATTTAATAAAGTAGATTGCCTGCCCCAAAGTGGGTGGGCCTCATCCAATCTGTTGAGGGCCTGAATAGAACCAAAGATGGAGGAAGGACGAATTCTCCCCTTTTCCTTCCTGTCTGTCTACTGGATTGGGACATACATCTTCTCCTGACCTTGCACTGAGATTTATATCCTCAGCTCCCCTGGTTCTCAGGACTTTAGACTCAGACTGCAATTATATCACCAGGTCTCCAGCGTGGAGAGAGCACATAGTGGGACTTCTCTGCCTCCACAGTCACATGAGCCATTTCCTCATAATACATCTCCTGTTCATTCTGTTTCTCTGGAGAAATCTAATACACACATAGAACCCAAAAAATATAATTATGGGTGAAAAAAGAATGTTACGAACGAAATCTAATACACACATAGAACCCAAAAAATCTAATTATGGGTGAAAAAAGAATGTTAGGAACTAATACCTACTGTATAAATATATATAAAGTATATATAATATGTATTATATATAAGATTATATAAAAATATATATGTATCAAAAGCATACAACTAAACTGTGAACACATATGTGGAACTAAACACAAAATTCAGGAAAATGGTCACCTCTGAGGGATTAAGGATAGAATAGATTTGAGAAGAACACACAAGAAAATAATAACTATTTTTCTGTTCTTACAGTTGGGGTGAGCACAAGAGTGTGGATTGGATCCCAGTTAAGAAGACCAAGTGGAAGTGCTGTGTGGATGAGTGAGACTTGATACCTAACAACTCTACTTTAGGGTGAGAAGGTGGGAAGACAGCTGTTTGCAAAGGGGCTCTCACAAACGCCAAAGGGGGTTTTTCTCTAGGACCTCAACGCTTATGCATATCATTCTACAACTGGCTTTTTTCACTTGTTGGAGACCATCATTATAGTGGCACTGCTGATTCCCTTTAGTATTACATTCATTACCTAGTTCCTTCTTGATAGACATGTTCATCTTCTGAATTTTTTTTAACACACAATGTTGAGTATTCTCCTAAGGGTAAATAACTATAAATGACATTTCTGAGTCATAGACTATTTCCTTTTTTAGTTTTAACAGACAGCGATAAATCTCCCTTCAAAGGGAGATCTCCCACAGTCTATTAGTCAACAAGTTCTTGTCCATCATCACCAACTCCGCATTGCTGCAACACCTCTAAACCGGTTTTGAATCCTCACCTAGTCCTATCCATCCTGCAGCCAGAGTGAGCTTTGGGAATAGACAGCTAATTATGCCACTGGCTAATTTAAATTCTCCATTGGCATCCTACTGGCTTGCAGATAAAACCTATGCCTTTAGAATAAGTCTGGTCTCATTTCCAGTCGCTTCCCACATGCACCCTTATCTCCAGGCATATCAGAACCGTTCAGTTCAGTGTACGATGGTTTTCCAGTTTTGCATTCTTTCTCTATCTGAAAAATTCCTCTTTTCAAGGATCAGCTGAAGCACTGACTCCTTCCCTCTGGGAAGGACACCTCTCTATGTAGCTTATACGCATCTCTATAGCTACACTTGATACACTGTTTCACCACTATTTACTGGGCAATCTTTGAAGTCAGAGACCAAGTCCCATCTTCTTTGTCTCTTTAGAGTCTAGCCCCTTGCTTGGAGGTGCTCAATGTATGTGTGATAAGATGAATGAATAAACAAATGAACTACCAAATGAACATGTGGTCTCTACCATAAAATGCTTTATAGTCTAGTGATAAAGACAGAAGAGATACATACAAATGATGCAAGGCTGCTAATGTGAGGAGCTAAAAGCCAAATGAATGGAACAAATGACCAAAGCTATGCGATCAGAGAGCTCACACCAGCTGAAGTCAGGGCAAATATGATCACTCCCAATGAGGAGCCAGAAAGACTAACACACATGAGTTCAAATTTTATCGTCGCCTCCTTTGTCCTCGGACACAGGAATGGTGGGATGAAAGGGTGTGGATGACTTGGCATAATTAAAACTTCTCAGCCAGAGGCTCAAGATCTCTGCATAAACCAGTGATTCTCAACCATCTTTTCATTCTGCTCTTCCCAAAGAAATCTTTTCAACGTGTTCCCTGATCACCTTCCCCCATAAAATGTAGTACTGTCAATATACTATGTATCTGTTTTATGTCCTGTGAACCTTTGGAAGGCCACAAACCATTTTACAATCATACCTGTTTCATTGTGCTTCACTTTATTGTTCTTCTCGGATATTGTGGGGGATTTTTTGTTTATTATTTTTTTAAATAAAGGTCTGTGTCAACCCTTCCTTGAGCAAGTCTATTGCTACCATTTTTCCAACAGCATTTGCTCACTTTGGTCTGTGTCACATTTTTGGTAATTCTTTTAATATTTCAAACTTTTGCATTATTATTATGTTTGTGATGGTGATTTGTGATCTGTGATTATTAGTAAAAGCACAGATGATGGTTAGCATGTTTAGCAATGATGTATTTTAAAAAATTTTTATATTGAAGTATAGTTGATATACAATATTATTTAGCTTCAGGTATATGATATAGTGGTGTGATAATCACATACATTACAAAATGCTCACCACAAGTACAGTTATCATCTGTCACCATACAAAGTTATTACAATGTTATTGACTATATTCTCTATACTGCATTGTAATAAAGTATTTTTAATTAAGGTATGTAAGTGTTTTTTAGGACATAATGCTACTGTACACTTAATAGGCTGCAGTGTAGTGTCAGTATAACTTTTATATGCACTGGAAACCAAAAAATTCATTTGGCTTGTTTTATTGCAATATATGCTTAGTGTGGTCTGCAACTGAACCCACAAAATCTTTGAGGT